TAAAATTGACAAACCCTTGGCCATGCTAATGAAGAGAAGGAGAGAGAAAACTCAAATTACTAACATGTGATGAAAAAGGAAATATCACAGCAGATACTACAGAAATACAGAAGATAATTAGAAATTACTTTGAAAACTTCTACTCCAATAAAATAGAAAATATCAAAGGCATCGACAAATTTCTAGAGTCATATGATTTGTCCAAATTGAATCAGGATGATATACACAATTTAAAAAGATCAATTTCAAGCGATTAAATAGAAGAAACCATCAGAAGCCTACCAACCAAGACAAAGTCCAGAACCTGAAGGACACACAGCTGAATTCTACAAGACCTTTAAAGAAGAATACAGTTTATCATAGCCATAGGATCATCTCAAGAGATGCAGAAAAAGCATTCAACAAAAGAGAGCACCACTTCATGTTCAAAACACTAGAAAAACTAGGGATAACAGGAACATATCTAAACATTATAAAGGCTTTCTATGCTAAGCCCCAGGCTAACATCATTGTAAATGGAGAAAAATTGAAAGCATTCCCTCCAAAAACTGTAACAAGACAGGGATGCCCTCTGTTACCATTTCTATTTAACACAGTTCTTGAAACACTGGCCAGAGCACAATCAGAAAGATGCAAGAGATTAAAGGGTTACGGATAGGAAAAAGAACAACTCAAATTGGCACTATATGCCAACGGTATGATTCTATACCTAGAATACCCAAAAAATTCCACCAGAAAACTTCTAGAACTAGTAAATGAATTCAGCAAAGTAGCAGGATATAAACTCAACATCCATAAATCAAAGGCCTTTCTCTATATCATTAATAAATTCTCTGAAAGGGAAATAAGGAAAACTACTCCATTTATAATAGCCTCAAAAAGACATAAAATACTCGGGAATCAACTTAGTGAAAGAGGAGAAAGACCTCTCAACGAAAACTACAGTATGCTAAAGAAAGAAATTAAAGAAGACCTTAGACGATGGAAAGATCTACCTTGTTCTTGGATAGGGAGAATTAATATTGTCAAAATGACCATACAGTATACAGATTTAATACAATTCAATCAAAATCCCAATGACAAGCCTCATAGAAATAGAAAAAATAGTCATAAAATTCATCTGGAAAAATAAGAGACCCAGAATAGCTAAAGCAATCCTTAGCAAGAAAAGGGAAGCAGGTAGTATCAGTATAACAAGCCTTAAACTATACTACAGAGCAACAATAACAAAAACAGCATGGTATTGGCACCAAAATAGACTAGTAGACCAATGGTACAGAATAGAGGACACAGAGACTAACCCACAAAATTAGAATTATATTATATTAGACATAGGTGCCAAAAACATACATTGGGGCAAAATGACCTCTTCAACAAATGGTGCTGGGAAAACTGTAAATCCATATACAACAAAATGAAATTAAACCCATATTTCTTACCATACACAAAACTTAATCAAAATGGATCAAGGACCTAGGAATTAAACCAGAGACTCTGTGTCTAACAGAAAAAAAAAGTAGGCCCTAATCTTCATCATGTGGGATTAGACCCCAACATCTTTAATAAGGCTCCTATAGCGCAAGAATTAAAACCAAGAATCAATAAATGGGATGGAATCAAACTACAAATTTTCTTCTCAGCAAAAGAAACAATCTGTGAGGTGAATAGAGAACCTACATACTGGGAGCAAATTTTTACCCCTCACACATCAGATAGAGCAGTAATCTCTAGGGTATATAAAGAACTCAAAAAGCTAAACAGAAAAAAAAACCAAATAACCCAATCAATAAATGGGCCAAGGACCTAAACAGACACTTCTCAGAAGGAGATATACAATCAACCAACAAACAACCCAATCAACAAATGGGCAAGGACCTGAACAGACACTTCTCACATGCAGATATACAATCAATCAACAAATATATGAAAAAATGCTCATCATCTCTAGCAATCAGAGAAATGCAAATCAAAACTACTCTAAGATATCATCTCACTGCAGTCAGAATGGCAGCTATTATGAAGACAAACAACAATAAGTGTTGGCGAGGATGTGGGAAAAGGTACAATCATACATTGCTGGTGGTACTACAAATTGGTGCAGCCAATATGGAAAGCAGTCTGGAGATTCCTTAGAAATCTGAGAATGGAACCACCATTTGACCCAGTTATCCCTCTCCTCGGACTATACCCAAAGGACTTAAAAACAGCATACTACAGGGACACAGCCACATCAATGTTTATAGCAGCACAATTCACAACAGCTAAACTGTGGAGCCAACCTAAATGCCCACTTCAGTGGATAAATGGATTAAAAAAAAATGTGGCATATATATACACAATGGAATTTTACTCAGCAATAAAAGAGAATAAAATCATGGCATTTGCAGGTAAACGGATGGCTTTCGAGAAGATAATGCTAAGTGAAGTCAGCAAATCCCAAAAAAACAAATGCTGAATGTTTTCTCTGATATAAAGAGGCTGATTCATAGTGGGGTAGGCAGGGCAAGCATAAGAGAAATAAATGAATTATAGATATGGTAGAGGGGTGGGAGGGGAAAGGAGGAGGCAGGAAATTAGCAAGGATGGTGGAATGTAATGGATACCATTATCCAAAGACACGAATTGGGTGTCAATCTACTTTATATACAAACAGACATATGAAAAATTGTGGTATATATGTGTAATGAGAACTGTAATGCAAAAAAAAGTACATGTATAAAGACATGAATTGGCGTGAACACATTTTATGTACAAAGATATGAAAAACTGTGCTCTATATGTGTAATAAGAATTTTAATGCATTCTGCTGTTGTGTATTTTAAAAATAAAATCAATTAAATAAAAAATAAGATGATGACTATTAAAAAAAAATGTTTCTTTTTCTGATATTCTTCCCTTCCTTGTTCTCTGGGAAACCTACAAATAATTCACTATAAATAATTATGATTAAAACATAGTTAAAATCTACATGAATATAAATGTGATTAAAGAAACAGAATATAGGTCATATACTAGAAGTTTAGATTAAAATAAAAGATTAAACAAGATAAAAAGACCAAATTTAAAGATCTTAAGGATCTAAAATCTCTTAAGATGAGGTGGGAGGGAAAGGGAGAGAAAAGGGAAATTGCATGGAAATGGAAGGAGACCCTCATTGTTATACAAAATTACATATAAGAGGTTGTGAGGGGAATGGGGAAAAAAACAAGGAGAGAAATGAATTGTAGTAGATGGGGTAGAGAGAGAAGATGGGAGGGGACGGGGGGGGGGGGGATAATAGAGGTTAGGAAAGGTAGCAGAATACAGCAGTCACCAATATGGCTTCATGTAAAAATGTGGATGTGTAACCGATGTGATTCTGCAATCTGTAATTGGGGTAAAAATGGGAGTTCATAACCCACTTGAATCTAATGTATGAAATATGATATGTCAAGAGCTTTGTAATGTTTTGAACAACCAATAAAAAAAAAAAAAAAAGAAATTGTGATCCTCCTGCCTCAGCCTCCCAAGTTGCTGGGATTACAGGTGTAAACCACAGTAACCAGCTAGGAACTGCTAGGAAAAAAAAAAAAATTTCCAATTGGGGTATAATTTCTCATTTTTCTGATTGTACAGATTGCAGAATCACATAAATTATACCCCAAATGATTCAAATGTATGAATTGCCAAAATCATTGTAATGTCATGTGTAGCTAATAAAAATGAATAAATAAATAATTTTTCCAAGAAAAAAAAAATCTCTTAAGGTTATATAGTCAATTATAAAGTAGCTGTTTTCTGGAATTTATCAATTTTCTTTAAACTTCATGTTTAAAACTATTTACTAACTTACTGAACTTTCAAATATTACATCTGTCTTTGGATCAAAATCAGTGAAAGTGAAAAAAGTTTAATTATGAAAATTTGTCAGAACTTACAAAAACTTGTGAGGTTATAGTTATTCTGAAATAAAGACTATTCCTTAAATGTAGTAATATAATTTTATAAAGACTCTGCAGGAGAGGTAGATAAAATCAGGTTAATCACAAAATATTTGCAAGTGGATGGCAGGCATAACGGTCTATGTCTGGAATCCCACGTACTCAGGAGGCAAGAGGATTGCCTCCATAATTTAGCAAGAACCTATTTCAAAAATAAAATAAAAAGTGTAGCTCAGTGGTAGAATTCCCCTGGCTTCAATTCCTCATATTGCTAAATAAGTTTAACGAGAAGAACAAAGGAATGTAACAAACTCTTTACAACTGGACATGGTAAAAACTTTTCCATGTTGCAAATACGCTAGGAAAGTTACAATTTTATGTACTTAATCACATTTTATCTTAAAACTTAGAATACTAAAAGCTAAATTGTAATGCAGGGTTTCTTAGCCCTGCATTAGGGACTTCTTTGTTGTAGGGGCTGTCCTGAATACTCAAAAAATTTTAGCAGACCCTTGACATCCACCCATAAGATGCTCTGAAATGTCTCCAGACATTGCCAATGTACCTGTGGAAATAAAATAACCTTCAGTTGAGATTCACATTAATTTTAAATGGGTTTTGATTAAAACATAGTGTGTGTATGTATATATATATATATATATATATATATATGTATATATATATATATATATATATATATATATGTA